ATTCGAATGTTGTATAACATCAACAAGTTAAACCGGGTTTAGAAAAATAGGACTAACTTTAATTGTCCTAATAAAATGTAATAGAACTAACAAATTTTCCACATTATAAATATAATGGTGATATATTTTTAATTAATTGAAAATTATAAACAAAATTTGGTTTGTGAATTTTTAAGTAGCATATATAAGATAGGTTAATTATCATGTGATGATTAACATGATGTTTTGATTAATATTTCAATTAAGATGACATGATTGCGGGTTAAAAAAAAAAATATGTATTTTGATATAAATACTATTTTACCAAGTGGTCTAAAGCTAGAAGCAATGGAAAAATAGGTGAAAATAATCTACTTAACAAACAATCATTTCACATCGATCTCACTCGTTCTATTCGAAATAAAATCACCACAATTAAATTTCATTTAATTCTATCATATTTTCTTTTATTCTATCGGAGATCGAATTCGTGTTATTCGGGAATAGGATGATATACAGCATGTACGTGTCAAATACTGCAATTGCCTCGCAAACGTCATCGAGATTAAATATCACGTCGCTTAATAAATTGGATATACGGTACAATACTGTGAAAAGAAAAATAAAAGATCGTAATAAAAAACTTTTTTTAATAGTTTGCATATTGTCAATTACATGCGAGCTTATTCATTCTAGCTTTAAGAATTATTATTTTTTTCATTGATCATTATCATGTGAATGGGTACTGTATGATTCACCGAGAGCTGGGCACCCCACACTTGACGAAGAATGAATGTATTGGACCCTTTACATTCTTTACATTGCATTTCATATTGTGTGTCAACATTGTGCAGGCGTAATCATTTGATACTAAAATCGCAGCATCGATCATATTAATTTACAAATTTGGTCAAATGCATGTCTACTCCTAATTTAATTTCCAATCCTCAAATTTCCTAAACGTCATAAGCGCAATATTATTCAGCCAACCGTCCAATCCAAATTTCCGAATTTTAATAAAGCCGAAAACCGCTTAAATCGCTTTAAAAAAACCCCCATGGTCGATTATTTCTTTTCAAAACTGCATTCTCAGTATCGAATGCATTATTTGAACTCAAGATTACGACTTCTGAATTTAGTAGATACTGCTAATCTTACACCTGGCCACCCCCCCCAAATTGCATTTTTTATCTCTTATTACCTACTATAACATACGTTAAATGCGACATTCATTTGTTTCAAGTTTCATAATCATTACCAAATGGCTAAAAATAAACAATATAATGATCATAATAAATTCGTATTAAATATTAATAATGCATACAACCGTTTCAGAAAATTTTTTTTCTGGAATATTCAGTCTCACCCAATAACAAGAAAAGAGATCAAGTTTAAAGTAAGTGAAATTCAAGTCTTTGCTGGTTTGTTGAGTTTGAAACTTCGGACCCGATCTTAATTTTCGTAACCACAACTTAAACAATTCATCCCATTCACTCATTCATTCATTGTAATACGTGACCCCCTAAAGAAATAAGAAAACCCATATTAGAAATCCTTTCTCTCATATTCAAAGAATCTTCACCATATACAATTCAAACTTTTTCACGTCAAAAAAAGCAATTGCGCAACTTAAGGACGGTTAATACTATTTATGAAATCAGATTTTCACAAATTTTAGGGATCATGGGTCAATTGTGTTGTCGTCCAAGCCGACCACCCGTCACCTCGACACCCGAAATGACTACCACCGATCCCATCAGCCCTTCCTATGACACACCCATTCCAACCTCCTACGTCCAGAGACTTTCCGCACCGGTTACTTCATCAAACAACACCGCAAAATGTCCAGAATGTCATCAATTAACTTCTACCATATACTGGAACTGGTGTCAACAATGTTCCGCTCGTCACTTTTCCGCAAACTTTGCGAATTGGTCATCCAACAACTCAAATTTGGATAAACTAATCCAAGAGATTCAACTGAACGCCACTTACAGCGAGCAGGTGATCGAGTGGATACCGTATGAACGGTTTCAGAATATTAGGCATATCTCCAAGGGTGGATTTGGTGAGGTGATGTATGCCGAGTGGGAAGATGGGCAAATCTATAATTGGGATATATCGATGGGAACGTGGAAGCGACGGGGTAGACATCCGGTAGCGCTGAAAAAATTAAAAGGAAGTGAGGAATGCCCCGAGGATTTTTTGAAAGAGGTTCGACTTGTTGCGTTTCACTTGCGGATTACCATAAAAAATAATAAATTTGATGAGATGCTGACATTTTCATCAAACACCAGGTTAAGTCTCTTCACTCAATAACACGTCAGAGTCTCTCGTTCGAAGTGACCCATTGTTTCGGCATCAGTCAAGATCCCTCAACCAAAGAATACATTATGGTGATTTCTTACGCAGAGAACGGTAGTCTGCATCACTACCTCCAACATCATAAAAATATTGACTGGCCTACTCGGATCTGTTTCCTATTGAAGATTACCCAAGGGTTGAGTATCATACACAATGCGGGTTTGGTACATCGCGATTTTCATAGTGGGAATATATTGATGGGAAAGCGGTATCCGGTAGTTAGTGATTTTGGGTTGAGCCAGTACGTGGGCAAAAGCAATAATGACGATGAGAGCAGTTATAATGATGGTACGTTTGGTAATTTTGTTGATGAATAAATAAGAATGCGGCGGCTGACAAGTATTAACCTCAATCGACCATATTGTTCCCGATCATAAGAAGAACCCGAAGGTAACGGCTACATATTTGGAGTAATCCCCTATATCGCTCCGGAAGTGCTTAGAGGTCATCAGTACACTCCGGCATCGGACATTTACAGTTTCGGGATGATTATGTACGAACTGCTTACCGGCCATCAACCATTCGATGATGCTGCTCATGATCTTGAGCTAATCGCCAGGATAACGGCGGGTAATGCATCTTTGCTGGCCAGGCCTACTTCGGCGTTGGATTCCGCCTCCACCCTGATCTCTCCACCGATCTCGTCACCCTATAAAACCACGGTGCCATCACCCTCACAAGCCGCCACTGGTAATAACCAAAATCGGCCAAGCCTATATAACATCCAATATCCAAAGTGCTGGATCCGATTGATGTATAGGTGTTGGAATGATGACCCTACACAACGGCCTAACATTACTGAACTCAACGAAGTGTTGGAAAAATGGTATCAGTTAATAGAAACCAATGTTGCCAAGGATAGGGAAGATCTGGAGATTTTGAGGGATTTCAGGGATGCCGAAAATTTCAGAGTCGACGGCGGTAAGAGGCTTAGTATTGGCGGCTCATCAATGAAAAGTGAAAAAAAGTTGTTGAATACGGAGAATCGAGAGAAACATCCCGAAGCATTCTATTACAGTCGAAAAATACCAACCAAGAAATTGATGAGAAAGTTGGAGGAACAAATGGGAGCAAAAGAGATTCGGGGTAAGAAATAGAAAGCTATTTAGGGTTAATAATATAAAGTCTTAAATCTAAATTATGCTTCAAACCTCTTCTTCATCGTTCTATTCACAGATTACTTAAATTTGAAGTACCTACAAAAATATCCGTCTATCGAAAGCAGTTCGAATGATTTGGAGAAGGGTTCACTCATGTCAACGAGCGTTACCAACAATTCTATACCAGATCAGCATAGTAGGCAGAGTGGAACTTCAGTTAATACCACAGAAGGTCAAGATGCGAAGGGTAATACGGTGGATGGGGATAATATGTCAACTCATTTAAATTTAGGAAAAGGTCTTGTTGGTGGTGTGCTGGAGATGTTAAGAGATGATGGTTCTGATGGCATGGACACTAATGCGCAAAAAAATGGTTCATTCAACGCCGGATTTAATAATAACATCGGCCCATCAATCAAAGAGGACGAAAATAAAATAAGCTCCGTGGATAATTACGAGAGCCCGATAATCGAGGTGCAAAGTTACGATGATGATAATATATCGCGAAACGACACGTCAGTGAGTTATTTTCGAGAATACCCCAGTAAAAATTCATTGACAATGACACAGAGTTATAATACTTTGGTATACGACTATTCACCATGAGATACACGTCATGACAACCTAACTATGACGAAATAATATTGTTCTATCCATTAAATAAGCAATTTCTTTAAGAAAAACTTCCGATTTTAACGAAATCAACTATTCTCTTTATTATTTTCATTGTTTTATTAGTGTGGGAGGACATTTTGCATCAATTCATCATTTACAGCATACTTATACTTATTTTTTCATATACAGTACAATATAAACATTGATATTTTATATACGACATGCAAATTTATTGTAACAAATTGTTGTAATTAAAATCTTACAATTCATTAGATTCACGTCTTTTTCTAGATAAAAGCATTTTTGCAATGGATAATGTGATTATTAAAAAAAAGGAGTGAAGGCATATTTCCAAAATTGGACAAAACGTGAAAGGTTAAAAAAACAACTTGAGAATAAAAATACTTGTTGCAACGATACAGTATATTAAAAAAAATATATTACCACCGGATCCTTATACCTATTATTACTAAAGAGATACAATACAACCTGAATAATTATCAACACCAGTAACAGCTTAGCGGCAAAATCTTTTAATACGTTTTTTACTTAGCCTTCAAGCATATGAATAACCACACAATTAAGGAAATAATTGTATTTTGAACAAGTTGTTGAGCATGGAATAAGTTTTCAAATTCAAGAATTGATACTATTTCTTTTTTTGAATTTATTAAAAATTTTTATTAAAGTCATTATCAACTAAAACATAATATTATTTATATATAAAAATTAACAAACTTAAAAAAAAAAAATCGATTTCAATTATATAAAGATATTTTTATTTAAGTAAAACATATTAGTGTTGGTTTACACTTTTTTAAACATTAAAAAAAAAAAACTTATAAATAATAGTTTTTATCAATAAATCAGGAAAAACTCAAAGTCTACAAGACTCAAAAGAATATTAAAGGTCAAAAACCAATAATAAAATATCTTAACCTATTACTATTTAAGTCTAAATAACAAATTAAATTATATAAATATATATATAAGAGTTAAAAATAAATATTAAAATAATATAACAAACTTTTTAAAAAACTCTTTTTGCTGATCCTCCTCTAATTACATGCAAAAAAGATGTTTGCAAGAAGTTTTTTTATTTTTTTGCTAATAAAGTCTTAATACTTTCTATAAAACAACTTAAAGTCAAACTTCAAGAGTTGTTTTTACCCTTCTTTTATTATTTATAATCCTCTTCACACAAAAATTTGATTTCTAGTAATCAAGAAAAGTCAAGTAATCAAGAATCAAGTAATCAAGAAAAGTCAAGTAATACCTTTGATATCAATGACAAAAAAATTCTCAAAAAAAGAAGAACTGACTATGAAATACCTGAAAACTTTTCAAATCTTTGAAACAAGAGATTTGCAAAGATTTTGTTGCAATTAAAAGGCCTACTTTCTTCTTTTTAAACTGTTTTAGTCCTTTTAAGACTTTCACTTTCATGGTTTTCTAAAAAATTTTGTTTATTTTAGTTTAATTCTAAATTTTTGATAATACAAATCTTTACAAAAAATGATTGACTAATATGAAACATATTAGTTTCTAAATATAAACAAGCTCCTGTTAATTATACTCAGATATTCTAATAATGTTATTGGTGATTGGAAAGAATGTTTCAAAAACATTTGTTCTCAAAAAGTTCAAATCCATTAATGAAGATTTCCATAACATCTAAAGATCAAGTGATAGATAATATGGATTGTAAACTTTCATCTTTTATTAAGTTTTTCAAATAGTAATAAAGCTTTAATGGAAAAAGTTGAGATCTAAATATTTTTCTTGAAATATTTCATTCTGATGCTTGCTTAAATGAAGAACTAGTTGGATTGACTCATCCAATATCACAAATAATGATGGGTTCCTAAAGTATTTAGTATATAAAATTTTATAGATCACATATGTCCCTTTTTGAAGAATAAAATTCATAACTTTTTACTTTAATAGGGACAAAAGTTGAAAAATGCTATAAATCAATAATTTGAATAATGAAAAACAATTGTGTATAGTTTTTTAATAGTTATTAATTTAAAAATTTTAATGTTTCCTAGTATGGGACATTTGATTTTTATTCTTTCCTTCCCTTTTAAGGACCCATCTTTAGCCACAGATAGTGAAAAAGAAGATTTTTTCTAAGGTTCAAGTGAAGCAAGAAGACTATTTCAATCAGGCAGATCCCTTTTGAGAAAAGATTGTTTTATTTTTAAATTTTTTTTATAGACCTTGAATTATTCCCTTCTCCCAATTGATTTTCTCCTTTTTTTTTTAACTTAGTAATTCATTGTTTTTTAAATTAATCAACAGTGACAAAATGTTAACAATAATCCTAATAGATAGAGATTATTATCAATTTATCAAAGAAGTGTAATATTGTTTCCAAAATCCAATTTAGAGTACTTATATATAAAAATGAGTTAGTCATTTTGTGAAAATTTGTAAACTATTGCAGATTTTGTTTTAATTTCTCAATAAAGACAAGCTATTATAATATGATTGTAAATTAAAAAATATATATATTTAATAAACTTTTTGAAAACTTTTTTCAATAATTCTCTAATCACATATAAAAAAGATATTCACAAAAAGTTTTTTCACTTCTTTACTAATAAAGTTTTAATATTTTTATTAAAACAACTTTAAGTATAAATTTAAGAATTATTTCTATACTTTTTTTCTTGTTTACAAATCCCTTCACTTTAAAACTTGACTTCTGGTAATCAAAAAAGATCAAGTAATATCTTTGATACCAATAGATAAAAAAGTTTTCAAAAAAAAAAAAAAACTAATTCTAAAGTATCTGAAAGCTTTTTTAATCTTTGAAATTGAATTTTATAGAGATTTTATTATAGTAGAAAAACTTATTTTCTTCCTTTCTGACTGTCTAGGTTCTTTTAAAACTTCTATTTTCATAGTTTTTTGAAAAATTTACCTATATCAATTTGACCTTGAATTTTAGATAATACAAATTCTCACTAAAGGTGATTGGCTGATATAAAATATGTTATTGAAATATAAACAAGCTTCTATTGGTGACACTCATATATTTTGATAATATTATTGATAATTGAAAAGAATATTTTGGAAATATTTGTTTTTCAGAAACTCAAGTCCCTTAAAAAAATATCCATAATATTAAAAGACTAAGAGGTAAGTAATATGGATTGCAAATTTCTATCTCTTCTTTAAATTTTTCAGGTAATAGCAAAGCTTTAATAGATAAAAGTTGAGATTTAAATAATTTTCTTAAAATATTTCAATTTAATACTTACTTAAATAAAAGATCAGTTAAATTAATTCATTTAATACTACAAATGAAATAAAAAAAATTTCTTCTAAGATTCAAGAAAAGTAAGAAGACTATTCCAATTAGGCAAATCCCTTTTGAGAAGATGATTGCTTTCTTATTGAACCTTTTTAATAGAGTTTTGAATTGTTCCTCTTTCTTAATTTCTTTTTTCTTTTTCATCTTAACTTAACAATTTATAATTTATAGGTAATTTGTAGTAACAAACTATTAAAATAAATTTGATAAATAGAAGTTATTTATTAATTCTCTAGAAAAGTAAAATATTGTTTTCTAGATCTTATTTAGAGTAATTAAGTACAATAATAAGTTAATTATTATATAAAAAATCTATAATTTTATAAATAATTATATAACTTCTCAATAAAAATCAAGCCATGTAATATGATTGTAAATTAAAAATTATATTTAAATAATATAATAAATTTTATATATATTCTATAATTAAAGCACACTCTTTTTGTTGATCCTCTGACCATACATAAAAAAGATATTTGCAAGAAGTTTTTATATTTCTTTGCTAATAAAGTCTTAATACTTTCATTAAAACAACTTGAAGTATGACTTCAA